GATGTGACACTTTGGGGACTCTGTGGCAGGCATTCTCTGGCAACTTTTAAATGACTGTGGTTATTTTCTTTGTCCAAATCAGAACAATCTGCCTTCAGAAAACCCCCGACGTATTAAAATGGAGATCTACAGACAACATGTCCCCGGTGACGCCGCCACAGCAGTGACAATGACCGTGGCTGGGAGTCACAGGGGCGGGAACCTTCAGGCCCTGGGGCACCGCACAAACCCATTTCACAGATGAGGACACGAGGCTCAGTGAGGCCCAGTGTCGGGGTGCCACCCTGTGGGGCGCCCTCCCTGGAGACCCACAGCGTGAGGCAGTAAGAGAAAAGGCCTTCACAGGGACATTCACTGAAAGGGATGAGGACATCACCCCGGAGGATCCAGCCACCCAGAAGAGGGCTCTGCAAAGCAAGGTCAGAGGAAGGGGGAGGCTCTTTCCATTTCTCTAACATGGACAGAGGAGAGACGGGGATGAAGGGACGTCACTTCCCATGTCACACAGGAATGCACGACCAGGGACACCCCACAGCACCCCCCAGGAATGGAAAATGACACCTGCGTGTGCACCCTATTGTCACAGAGAGCTAGAAAAAAAAAAAAAGAAATGTTCTTGAATGAGCATCACGGCTGCTTTCAGATTTTAAATCAAGAGTTTGTGGTTGCTTTTCTTTTTCCCCCAAACTACCCGAAACATCTCATTTGGAGACAGATGCTGAGGCCAGGCCCTGACCCCCCTGTGGGAGGTCATGCCTCTGCGGCCAAAAGCTACCCCAAGACTGAGTTCAGGCTGAACTGGGACTTTTGGATTTCATACTAGGCTTGGCTAGACAATAGGGAGAACTGTCAGAGGCAGAGGATGGAGGACTAACAGCGTGGGCTCTGGGGCTCGACAGCTGTGTGACTTCAGGTCTCTGTTTCCTTGTCTCTAAAATGGAAATTTCACTCATTAGTACTATGGCCCACGCCTGTCATTCCAGTGGCTCAGGAGGCTGAGGCAGGAGGATCGCAAGTTGGAGGCCAGCCTCAGCCACTTAGCAAGATCCTGTCTCTAAGTAAGATATAAAAAGGGCTGGGGACGGGGCTCAGGGTTAAGTGTCCCTGGGTTCAATCCCCAGTATAAAAAAAAAGGGGGGTGGGGTGGGCCACAGGTCAGTGCCTCTCGCTGGCCCTGGAGGGACATGGACGCTCAGGAAGCCTCCTGTGAGTGGTTGTGGTTGGGAGCGACATGTTCTGGATTCGGATCCCAGCCCTGCTGCTCACTGGGGACGCTCCGGGTGCCTCTCTGAGCCTCGGTCTCCTCATCTGGAGAATGGGCCGACCTGTGGGGGTCAGGCGGGTCTGCAGAATCGTCCATCTTGTGAGGACGTGAGGTTCTTCTCTGCCTGGGGACAGGCCCCTCCCTGCAGGGCGCAAAGCAAAGTCCCTCTGCGTTGTCACCTCTGAGTGAGTCTCCTGGAGCCCACCGAGTTGTGGTCAGTGACGGAGAAGCTCATTCTAGGTCACCAACGTGGTCACGTGGGGTCCCCTGGGGACAGCTGGACGCACTGTGTGTCCCCTGTTGCTAAAGGAGGCCCCACGCCAGCCTCCCAGGTGGCTGCTCCAGGAGCCCTTGGGCCTGGCAGAGCCGGCCACACCCCAGCGGGTCCTCGCATCGCGGAGCTGTGTGGCCCATTGTCCCAGAGGAGCAGGTGACGCAGAGCAACTGCGGGGGGCCTTCAGCTTATGCCCTGATTGTTCTCCAGGGGCTTGTCACCAAGGTGCTCCCCCAGCGCACTGTGGCCATGGGGGGGTGGCAGGGGCTACTTACTGTCCCACCCACCCCTGGGGCTGCTGGTGCCCAATGTGGAGGGGAGGGCGGGCGCTGCTGGCCAAGGTGACCCCGAGGCTGGGTCACTGGGCTTTTTCCTGGTCCCAGGGACTGAACCCAGGGGTGCTAACCCCTGAGCCCCGTCCCCAGCCCTTTTTAGATTTTATTTAGACACAGGGTCTCGCTGAGTCGCTTAGGGCCTTGCTAAGCTGCTGAGGCTGGCCTCCACCTTGCGATCCTCCTGCCTCAGCCTCCTGAGTCACTGGGATTGTAACCTGTGCCCCCCCCCCCCCCCCAGGGCTTTCTGACACTAAGGACCTTTCAGGGATGAGGCTCGTCTGACCACTTCATGGGCCCGACGCCCGGGAGCTCTGCAGCCTTGACTGTGCTCTGGGGCAGGAGGCAGGGGCTGATGGGGAGGGAGGGCGCGAGCCTCAGCCCCACTCCAGACCTGGAGACGCAGGACAGACGGAGCCTCCTCTACACACAGCCTCCCAGCCTCCTCTCTCTACCAGCAAAACGACCTGGTGTTCAGGACGACGCTCAAAGGGCTCCTGTCCTCTCAGGCCTGGCAAAGGGTGGGGACTTGAAGGCAGCTGTTGTATACACGTGGGGCTTTTCAACCTGCAGGTCTGAACTGGCGATCCTCCTGCCTCAGCCTCCCGAGCTGCTGGGATTGCGGGTATGTGCCACGGTGCCCGGCCAGTTTGTTTTTAATTGGGAGGTTTTATATAAAAACCACATAAGATAGAACTGAGGCCAGACATGGTGGCACATACATGTCATTCCAGTGGTTAGGGAGGCTGAGGAAGGAGGATTGAAAATCGGAGGCCAGCCTCAGCCACTTAGCGAGGCCCTAAGCAACTCAGCGAGACCCTGTCTCTAAATAAAATCTAAAAAGGGCTGGGGACGGGGTTCAGGGGTGAAGCACCCCTGGATTCCATCCCTGGTACCCCCCCAAAATAAAAAAACAACAAACCGAGGATGAGGCTGGAGGACAGACTCTGTTTCTCCTCCATCCTGGCCTCCACCCTACCTGCTCAGCCTCCCAGGCACCTGGCCTCGCAACCCAAAGAAGAGGCCACTGGCAGGAAACCCCGAGGGCCCTTTGCCTGTCCCCAGCCTGCCCTGCTGAGCCAGCACTGGGGCCACCGGTGCCCGAGGGTCTCCTGGCTCCTCCCAGTCCGGAGGCCTCAGCTCAGCACCTGGACTCCACACCCCACTTTCCAGCCTGCGGCTCCCCACGCTCCCCCGCCCTCCCTCCGTCACCTGGCACCGGGTGGCTCCGGCTTCCTGAGGATTCTTTCCCAATTAAGGCGCCTCCCACAAGGTCAGAAGGAGGATGGGGCTGGGGGTGGAGGATGGGGCTGGGGGTGGAGGCCGGCGGTGGCAGGAGGAATCCACCAGCCACAGGCTGCAGAGGCTGCTGCCCGGGAGGAATGTGCGCTCCAGAGCTGGGGCTGTCCCCGCGCGCCCCGTCCCGGGCCCCCACACAGTGCTGGGGGCCTCCTCCGGGACCTCCCTGCTAGAGTCTGCCTGAGGCTGGGGAAGGGGAAGCCTCCTTCCCTGGCCACGCCGCGCCCGCCCTGGGGACTGTCCCTCGGGGGAGCTGGCCCAGCGAGGAATCGCGGCGTCCCCTGGAAGGCGCAGGCTCGGGGTCCTTGGGACCTGAGGCCCGGGTGCTGGCCTGCCTGGCCCCCGCCCCTGCTCCCAGGGAGGTGCGGAGGGTTCTCAGGCCGAGAGCCACCCACCCTCGTGGGGACAGCTCTGTCCCCAGCTCCCACCCAAGCCCACAGAGGCCCAGGGCTGGGAGCCAGGGGTCACCGTGGAAGGCATCGACCTGCTCCGTGTCTGTGGCTGTCCCTGTCTGGGAGCTGGATCTCGCTGTTGCTGGGACGGCCTTGAACTTCAGGGTGTGAGTGATCCCCTCGTCTCAGGGGGGGACAACAGGCAGATACCAGCACATCCGGGCTTTTGTTCTATATTTTTAAAATTTAATAACATAGATTTCATTCTGGGGGACAAAACACCGGGGTGGCCCATGCCTGTCACCCCAGCAGCTCAGGAGGCTGAGGCAGGAGGATCACAAGTTGGAGGCCAGCCTCAACAACTCAGCGAGACCCTGTGTCTAAATAAAAAGACAAAAAGGGCTGGGGACGGGGCTCAGGGGTTAGCGCCCGGGGGTCTCATCTTTGGTACCAAAAATCAAAACAAAGGACCAGGGAGCTCACTGGACATTCAGGTGAAGTGGCCCTTAGGTCCCTCCCATGCCATCGTGAGCTGTGGTGCCACCCCCTGCAGCCGTGGCCACCAGGGCACTCCTGCCTCAAACAACCCCCAGCCCTCAAACACACCAGGCCCACTGTCCCCTCTGGACCCATGAGCTGGCTCCGCTGTCCACGGAACGTCCTTTCCCAGGCGGCCCCCGCGGCTCCGCCCTCCCCGCGGCTCCGCCCTCCCCGCGGCTCCGCCCTCCCCGCGGCTCCGCCCTCCCCGCGGCTCCGCCCTCCCCGCGGCGCTATGGGGCCAACCTGGTGCCCTTCACAGGTGGATGGATAAGGAAACACAGGGGAATATTACACAGCCTTAAAGAAGACTGAAATGCTGGCATTTGCAGGTGAACGGATGGAGCTGCAGACGATCATGCTACACGAAATAACCCAATCCCCCAACCAAAGCCAAGTGTCCTCTCTGATGTGCACATAAGGGTGGGGTGGGGGGCATAGCAGAGAGGAAGGGAGGGGAGGGGACTGGGAGAGACAGGGGAATGAATGGACGTCACTTTCCCATGTTCACATAGGAACCCACGACCAGGGACACCCCACAGCAGGTCCAGCCACAGGAGTGGGTTGTCACACCCCGTATGTGTGTGACATCTCAGAATGCACACAGTGACCCTTCAGAACAACCTCAGGTTCAAAGGCAGCGTCCTCCGCCCCTGACCTCTGACCTCAGCCTTGACCTGTTTAGACCACGCCCAACTTGGCCAAGGTTGGCTAGAGTGGGAACTTGACCTCCGACCTTGACCTTGTTCAGACCACCCTGACCCCTCCCAGGCCCCTCCAGGGTGTCCCAGCCTCCGGCTCTGCCCCCGCTCAGGGTCGGGAAGCTGAGCCCAGGCCCTGGCGCCCTCTGGGTGGCCTCCCTGTGCCCCGGGCGCCCTGGTGCAGGGGGACGGCCCACTCACCGGGGACGTGGACCTTGAACTTGCCGCTCTGGCCGAAGGCGCTGTCGATGACGCCCAGCTCCCCGGTGGACAGCCGCACCCGGAGCCCCACGAAGAGCTGGATGTTGGTCTCCTTCTTGAACAGGGAGCGGCCGATCACGCTGTAGTCGTCCATCGCCTGTCCCCACACCGTCCCCGAGAGAGGGCGTCAGGACAGTCCCCAGACGGCGGCCCTGGGCACGGCCACGCTGCACCCCTGAGGAGCCCTGAGGGTGGGGGCGCTGAGCCCACCTACAGGTCGCCACTCACACCCAAGTAGGGCAGAAACCCCAGCTGGGGGCTACAGCGGCCCTGTCACGGTCACTCCCTTGACACGAGCCCACTGTGGGCAGGGTCAACACTGTAATGCCCAGGGCAACCCCGTGAGCCCCACCTTACAGCTGAGGACAGCAGGTATGGCTCGATCAAGGTGTCCAGGGCCACCTGACTTCCTGCTGTCCTCTCCCCGTGAGTCTGTCCCCACCTTTGGGACCAGAGGTTGACTCCCGTCTCCGGACCTGTTCTGGGTTTTATTCAGAGACAGGGTCTCGCTGAGTTGCTCAGGGCCTCGCTAAGAGGCTGAGGCTGGCCTCCACCTTGCGATCCTCCTGCCTCAGCCTCCCCAGCTGCTGGGATGACAGGCGTGCCCTATGGCACCTGGCTCCCCAACCTTTAAAAAGTTTTTCATTTTCTTCTTCCTTGTGCCTTTATCGTGCGCCACAGGTTTACAACATCATGGGTTCATTTTGGCATGCTCATGAGCACAGAGAACACAGGCTCCATTCCCATTCCCCGCCGGCCTCTGGGCTGCGGCCTCTACCCCACTGGTCTCTCTTTGACTGATTTAGTTTTTAAGTGGGTACACTAGTGTCCCCTCTTTTCTTTGGGTCATAAAACATGCACTTAGCAAAGCCAAATGCCGGGGACGTCCCCTCCTGCCCGGGGGCCTGTTGGGACACGCTCGGTGTGCCCACTTCAGGGGACTCAGGGCAGAGACCCCAGGTGGGTTTCAGTGCCTCGTAAACAGGGGCCAGGGCCGGGGGCTCAGGGCGCCCGCTGTCGTTCTATGTCCCCAGCTGTCCCTGCCGTCCCATGGTGGTGGCAGGGGACCCCTGACCTGCGCCACCACGAGACTCTGGAAGTGTCTGGGGTCAGGTGAGGAGCGAGGGGCGTCCGTTCAGAACAAGCTCAGGTTCAAAGGCAGCGTCCTCCGCCCCTGAGCCCCGGCCAGGGGACACCAGAGTGCCCAGTGCACGAGGACCTCCTGCCACCTTCTGTGTCTGCATTTCCACTGGGGACGTCAGGTGGGTGAGCCGGCCCCCTGTGGGCGTCCCCCTGCCTGCGAAGGCCCCCACTGGCCCTTAACAGCAGCTGACAGCATCTCTGCACTGTGTCAGTCCCACAGAGGGGACCGAGGGTGACCGTGGGTGTGGCCACCCCTGGGAAGGAGCTGAGGGGTCCCCCAGGCACATCTGTCCCTCTGGGGCCCTGCTGGCCCTCGGCACCCAGTCTCCTAACTCCTGCCCTGGGGCAGAGGAAAGGTGGCCACGTGTCCTCAGCCGTGTCACACGGGGGTGCCCCAGGGCACTGCTGAATCTTTAGAGAAGCCCCCTGGGGTCTGGGGACTCGGCAGGTGTCACCCAGCCAGGGAGTGTGACAACACCACGTTCTCTTTATTCTGTCCCAGGGATTGAGCCCAGGGACGCTTACCCCTGAGCCTGTCCCCAGCCCTTTTTATGTTTAGAGACAGAGTCTCACTAAGTGGCTGAGGCTGGCCTCCAATTTGTGATCCTCCTGCCTCAGCCTCCTGAGCTGCTGGGATGACAGGTGTGTGTCCCGGCACCTGGTGCAATACCACGTTCTAATTCAGGCTGAGAGGAGGGGACCTCTTCTGTGGCTTAGGTCACAACGATGCCAGTTGTGCCCAGAGTGGCTTTCTCTGTCTTTGGACTCCCTTGAGCTGGGAGGAGGAGGAAGATGAAGAGGAAGAGGAGGAGGAGGAGAAGGAGGAGGAGGAGGAGGAGGAGGAGGACCTGGTGCTGGGAAGACAGGGCTTAGAAGCTCTTAAGAGGTCCTCTCTGAACCTCAGTTTCTTCCTCTGAATAAAGCTGTCGTTCAAATCAGGGCCTGAGGTTGGTCAGAACACCAAGACCTGGTGACAGCACGGCCACCCAGGGGACAGCAAGCAGGAGGCGGAGAGAACGAGGGGATCGTCCCAAATTCCAGCCTCTCCCAGCTCCAGCGGCAAGACACCAGCCGTCGCCGGAGGAGGACGCGGGCCAGCTGGAGTTGGAATCAGTCACTGTGACGTGACACGGGGCGGGCGGGGGCTGCTCGTGGGGAACAATGACGGGATCTGGCCAGCGCGGTCACAATAGCTCCGATGGGGACCTCCGCTGTCTGCAGAGTGGTCTGCTGTCCCTTCCCCTGGTGGCTGGAGGCCCGGACTCCCCAGGAGTGGTCGCTGGCTGCGCGCGGCAGCCCGGGGTCTGCTCACATGCCAGGCGAGTCCCCAGTGTCCCCAGCGCTGAGTGGGAGCTTGGCAGCCGGAGCGCGTGATGATGTCGTTACATGTGTGGCGCCCGGGGCTCGGTCCCCGAGGAGGCCCAGGCTCTGAGGCAGCTGGGCTCAGTCAAACGGCAGAGGGTCGTCCAGGGAGGGAGGGACACGGCGGTGTCACTGTCCCAGTAGGGCCCAGGGCTGCTGCGAGGAGGACCTTGTGCCCAGAGGGGCAGGGCCTGGAGACCTGGACCAGGTGAGGGTCCTCTCTGGACCTCAGTTTCTTCCTCTGAAAAAGGCCGTCATAGGATCAGGGGTGCGGAGGTCGCTCGGGACACCAAGACCTAGTGACAGAGTGGCCACCCGGGGCAGGACCTCAGGGGCGTCCAACTCGGGGAGAGGTCCCCTCTGGGCGGGTTTTAAAGGTGCCCAGCGTCCCCTGGTGTGCTGAACCAAGCAGGGGACGGTCACGTGCTCGGTGCCCGTGCTGCCCACTGTTCTTGGGCTCTCTCCTCAGTTACCACTTGTCACCAACCGAGTCCTCCTGGGGGACAGGGACCCGTTGTCCTCTGGAGCAGGGTGGCAGGGGGTGCCGGGGTCGAGGATGAGCCTTGTGTAATACAGTGACTCTTCCAGGTCACCTGAAAGTCACCAGAACTGGAAGATTAAGAAGCTCTGTGGTGACATTTGGTATCAGAACTTCTGCTGCCTCCTCCTCCCCAGGGCAGGGCCGAGGCCTGGCAGAAAACAGAGGCCTGGGGCAGCCCTGGCGTGGGGCTGGCTTCTGGGTCCAGCTGCTGGGACTCCTGGGCGAGCCGCGTCACTCCTCTGAACCTCAGTATCCTCTTCTGTAAAAATAAGGCAGCCCGGTGCAGGGGTGGCCCACGCCTGTCTTCCCAGTGACTTGGGAGGCTGAGGCAGGAGGATGGCAAGGTAGAGGCCAGCCTCAGCCACTTAGCAAAGCCCTGAGCAACTCAGAGAGACCCTGTCTCTAAATCCAAAATAGGGCTGGGGACGGGGCTCAGGGGCCCCTGAGTTCAATCCCACCCGCTGCCCCTGCTCAGGTTGGGCAGGACCTCTGTCCACAGCGGGCCTCCGTGGCCAGCCTCCGCTCCCCACTCCGCTCCCCGCATGGCCATCAGCAGCCCCCATAGAGGCACATCCCCCTTCAGGGGCAGGTCAAGAGCCCGAGGGACAGTGGCCAGGCGGCTGGCCTTCTAGGGAGAAAGGGAGATGACACCTCTCAGAGCACCTGCTGGGCCAGTTGGGCCACCGACTCCTCTGAGAGGAGAAACCGGTTCTGGGGACAGTGGCCATCTTCTCCAGAGCCAGCTCTTCCCCCCGCCCAGCGGCCTGACCCCGGGTGCATGTGAGCGAAGCCATTTCCACGGGAGGTGAGTCCGCAGCTCGTGACCCGCTGGACGGCAGGACAGGCCACGGCTGGGCCTGGGCCAAGACACCAGGCCGCCCTGACCTTCCCGGGAAGGAGAGGCCGTTGTGACTTGTGCTTCAGGGGGACCCTGGCTTGCTCAAGTGACCTGGGAGGCCACCAACCTTCAGGCGGCTTGCAAGGAGCCCGGGGCCAGGGGCAGCAGGACAGGCCACAACGGGCCGTCCCCTGGGGCTGGGGCCTGCCCAGGAGGAGGCTGGAGGCCGGCCCAGGAGGAGGCTGGAGGCCGCCCAGCCAGGGGCAGCCAGGGGCAGGTTGCCTGCGGCCAGCGCCCTGGGCACCCGGGCCAGGCCATCACCAGCGGAGCGGCCAGAACCAGGAGCCAGGGGACAGTGGACTTCAAAGCCACCAAGGCTCCTGGTGGCGCCGGCGTGTCCACACTCGGCTGTGCCCCGCCGCGGGCTCCTGCCGCCCAGCCCTGGGGCCCTCCCGAGTGGCGCCAGTGAGAGGTGGCCGGGCCTGGCCTGACCCCTGGGGGGGGACAGCCTGTTGTCCCCACCCAGCCGGGAGCCCTGGTGTCTGGGCCTCCAGGAAAGTTCTAGAAAACAGTCCTGTGCTACCCAGCGGTGATCAAGGGACCCTTCTGGGCGGGGACACTTCAGGGCCTTACCTGGTGTCCCTGTCCCACCCCACCCCACGGGGGGGAGGTCCCCATTTTTCTACTAAGGAAGCTGCGGTGGCCCGGCTGTCCCCGGCCCTGGCAGCCGCTCTGGCCGCGTTCCCAGAGCCCTGGCCACGGCTCAGCCGCGCGGGTCCTGTCACCAGCTCAGTCTCCTGCCACACCCCCGGTGCCCGCCACTCCCTGGGCCGGCCTCCCAGCCGGTGGCACCACAGCCAGGTGAGGCAGAGCCACAGGACCGAGTGGGGCAGGGGGGAGGGTGGGCGTGCAGCCCAGCGTAGCAGGCCACCTGCTGTCCCTCTCTGTCCCCCCCTTTGCCCTCTCCTGACAGTCCTATGGAAAACAGAGGCCGGTGGCCCACGCCTGTCATCCCAGTGGCTGGGGAGGCTGAGGCAGGAGGACGGCCAGGTGGAGGCCAGCCTCAGCCACTCAGCAAGGCCCTCAGCAGGTCTTTTAAATGCCCCAACCAGCCCCAGGGCACCATGGCGCACACCTGTCCTGCAGCAGCGATGGAGGCTGAGGCAGGAGGATGGCAAAGTGGAGGCCAGCCTCAGCCACAAAGCAAGACCCTGACTCTAAATCAAACATTCAAGGGCCGGGAGGTGGCCCTGTGGTCAGCGCCCCTGGGCTCCATCCCTGGGACCTCCCTGGCCGCCGACACCATCGGGGCCCCGTGGACCCGGCCGCCCTCCCCGAGGAGGCCCAGACTGGAGGCCGTGCTCACCCGCTCCACGAGGCCTTGCTTGTACTTGAGCTTGTAGACCCTGAGGGCGGGCAGCGCGCTCTCCGCGTAGCCCTTGTCCTGCAGCCCGTGCAGCAGGCGACCGTGGAAGGCCAGGCGACACGAGTTGGCGTGGATGTCCGCGTCCAGCCGGGAGCCGATGACCAGGCTCAGGCGAGGGCAGGTGACCGGCCTCTCGAACTCCACCAGGGCCCACTGCTGCCGTGGACAGCGGCCCTCGGGGGCCTGGCCGGCCCTGCCGTCCGCCTGGTCGCCCTCGGTGGCCGGGTCCCCGCTCAGGTAGCGCTCCTGGAAGAGGTACTCCTGGGCCAGGTCGAAGGCGTCCACCTGGGGCTCCTGGTCGAAGCGCTGGGGCTCGGGGCTGAAGAAGAGCAGGCGGCCCATGACCGTCTCGTGGCCCAGCGTGATGTGGAACTTGGCCTTGGTCAGCAGCGGGCCCCGGAAGTAGGGGATCTTCTCCACGGAGATGATGGCCGCGTGCAGGGTGGGCAGCGACTCAGGGGTGCACACCAGCCCGCGCTCCAACAGCTTGGGGTCAAACTGGGTGACGCAGATGCCCAGGCGGTCACCCTGCATGGCCGAGGTGACGGGCGTGTGGAACATCTGCATGGACTTGACCTTCTTCACCACCTGGCGGGGGGACGAGAGGGGTGTGAGACCAGCAGGGCTGCGTGGGGGCACCCATCCCGACATCCATGATCCCAGAGGAGGCCGAGGCAGGAGGATCGCAAAGTGGAGGCCAGCCTCGACAACTTAGCAAAACTGTGTCTCAAAATGAAATTAGGACAGGGGCAGGAAAGAGGGTCAATGACAGGAGGTGATCTGGGCACTGGGCAAGGAGGCCGCCAGGGACACAGCTCGGGTGGCCGGGGAGTCACATCTCACGGGAGGCACCCTCTGCCACGGTCACCAGGTAGGCTGCCTCCGCCCTCGGCTGCCGACACTCCTCTGAGCATTTTTATTTTGGGCACCAGGGATTGAACCCAGGGGCACTTCACCCCGGAGCCCCGTCTCCAGCCCTTTTTCTATTTTATTTAGAGACAGGGTCTCACTGAGTGGCTCAGGGCCTGGCTCAGTGGCTGAGGCTGGCCTCCACCTTGCGATCCTCCTGCCTCAGCCTCCCGAGCCCCTGGGACTCCAGGCACATGCTAACTGAGCCTCTTTCTAATCCTAAAGTCAAAACCATCCTAAGGTCTGTCCAGGGGGCCGGGGTGGCCTCTGGGCTGAGAACCTGAGACGGGGACACGCAGGGAACTGGGTGCTGAAAGGTGTGTCTTTCCGTTTTTCTGTCTGTCCGTCTCTGGTTTCCAAGTTCAGCCTTTAGTATCAGGACAAAGAAAAATGACTTGGAGGAAATGTTTCGGGTCTGGGCTTGAAGCTCACATAAATCACCTGCAGTGACTTCCACCAACAATGGAAGGCGGCCTCCAGGGGCCAGCAGGCAGGTGGCCAGGGCGGCTGTCCAGTGGGGCAGGGAGAGGAGGGTCCGAAGTTGGTATCAGACAGTACCACAGCGACTGTTCCCTGCTGGGCGGCCTCCCCTCCTCCCTGGGGACCCTCGGGACAGCTCAGCTCCACAGAGAACCACAGAAACGTGCACTTCTCACCCGATGGAATCTTCTAGAACAAAAGGACCGGAGTAACACAGTCGCAGGGTGTGGCCACCGACTGCCGGCTGCGAGCACGAAGCTGCTCAAAGTCCCAGGTTGGGGGTTTAAAGATCCAGGGCCCCTGTGTGCCCTGTGCCTCCGTCGCTCAGGATTATTTTCCTGTCACAATCAGGTCTGGGCTCCGCGGCTCCTGGGAACACTGAGGCATCCAGTTCCGGGGCAGGTGGTGGCCTTTATCCCCTGGCCCAGACCCCAAAGGGTTTGCTGGGACCTATTCAGGGGAAGGGGTGCGGGCCCTCTCAGGTCAGAGAAGGGCCCGGGACGGTTTGAGCAGCACGTCCCAGCCCCTGCCTTACAGAGGGTGACGTTTCGAATGGGGGCCACTAGGACCTTCGGACTCCTCATCCTCTGCTCTCTGAGGAACAGGGAGGGGCTGGCCTCCAACAGGGCTCCTGCCCAAGGGGGTTCCCAGAGTGACCTTCACTCTCTATGTTCTAGCACAGGTGACGGGGGGCATGGCTTCAGCAAGAAACCCCATGTCAGGTGTGGCTCCAGGGGTCTCTAGTAACCCAAGGGGCGGAATTAAGACCTGTCAGGGGGCAGCAGGAGCTATGGGGGGGGATGGTTTTTTGTTTTGTTTTTTCTTTTGGTCCCAGGGATTCAACCCAGGGGTGCTTAACCCCTGAGCCCCGTCCCCAGCCCTTTTTTATTTTATTTAGAGACAGAGTCTCGCTGAGTTGCTTAGGATCTAAGTTGCTGAGGCTGGCCTCCAACTTGCGATCCTCCTGCCTCAGCCTCCCGAGCTGTTGGGGTGACAGCCCCTCTGAGGCTGGGGAGGCTACGGATGACTCACAGTCACAGGGACCCTGGGCAGGGCCTGCCTCCTCCACGGCTCTCGTATGTCCATCAGGACAGTGACAGTCCTGGTGGCCCCCAAGAGATGACAGAAGGAGACACAGGTGGCTGGAGGGCCCTTCTGGGGGCAGGCAGGCAGGGACAGGCCAGCACTCACACGCAGCAGCTCAGAGCATGGGCCCTGAGGCTGGAGGGGGACCTGCAGGGACAGGCTGGGACAGTCACGGCCTGCACAGGCAGCAGGGCTCTGACCAGGCCAGTGGCCTGTCCAACAGGACAAGCCCAGGCTGACTGACTTAGGACTGTTCCCAGAGTGAATAATGGGGCAGAGGCCCAGAAAGGGAAAGGCACAGGCCATCAAAGGGATATCCTTTCGGAAAGAAGAGAAATGACCCAAGCACGGTGGCCCACGCCTGTCATCCCAGCGACTGGGGAGGCTGAGGCAGGAGGATCACAAGTTGGAGGCCAGCCTCAGCCAAAGCAAGTTGCTAAGCAGCTCAGCGAGGCCCTGTCTCTAAATAAAATATAAAAGGGCTGGGGACGGGGCTCAGGGGTTAAGTGCTCCTGGGTTCAATCCCTAGGACTCTCCCCTGCACCAAAGGTGACAGTGACTAGTTCAGGTTTTGCGGGCCACACAGCCTCTGTGACCTGCAATCAGAGGACTTTACTTAAAACCAAGCAAAGCAGTCAGGCAGTTGGCTGAGCTTTGTGGCCTCCTGCTACATACTGAGGACAGCAGCTCACCTGTACCTGTGTCAGCCAGATGCACCTGACCGTCCTGACCAATCAGGAGCCAGACTGTGCCACCCTCACCTTGGTGGCAGCAGCAGAGCCACGTGCCCCTGCAGAGGAGGCCTGAGGGATGGCGGTCATTTCCTAAGCACCTGTCATCTTCTGGGTCCCCTGGCCGAGGTCGGTGGGGGGTAGACACATCCACAGAACGGCGATGTGACATTTAGAGTCGGTCTCCTCATCTGTAACCTGGACGGGGCAGTGGGACCAGGCCCTGCCCAGGAGGAGGACACCTGGGCAGCCCTGGGCGGCTGGGCTGCGGGGATTATTCTGCTCTGTCTCCTAGGAGCCGAGGACAGGGCAGGGCCACTTGAGAGGACTTTCAGAAGCTTAGGCGCCTAAGCCCCGTGGAGCAGCCAGGGGCCGGGCTCACAGAGTGGGTCCTATCTGGAATCAGAATCGGCCCATGAATATACATGATCCCCAGGTAATTCCCGCAATCTCAGCGCCCTAATGGAGCCACCTTGGCTCACTGGGGCATGAATATTTACTGTCCCCTGGCTTTACTGCTCTCGATCTGGGTTCAATTTTGCAAATTAAAATGAAGGCCGTGTGGATAGAGAGATTAGAGGGCAGCCTCGGAAGGCTGCTGTCCCCCTCCAAGGCAAAGCTGGCTCCTGCCCGCTGGCCCGGGGCCCTGCCTAGAGGGGGCAGGAGTCACAGAAAGTGGGACAAAGGATCTGGGGGGTGTCAGGTGTCAGGATTTTGGAAAATACAGCAGGAAGAGGAACAGGCGGGGATGTCCCCAAGGCTTCCCCATCTGGCCACTGAGGACAGGTCCTGAGGATCCACAAGATCAGGGACTGTCCACGCAGAGACCTAGGCCTGGGCTTGAACCCAGGGCACGCGCCCTTCACCTAGCGCGGCCTCGGTTTCCTCATCTGTTAAATGGGGGCACACGCCTCCTCCTCCTCCTCCCCAGGCCGGTGTCTGCGGGGTGCCTGGCCCAGGACACTCAGTCCGTCAGCTGCCACTTCTGGTCACTATAGGCACCAATCAGCACATGGGGTGGGACAGTCTGTGGCCCAGGGACAGGAGCCCAAGGTCTGGGGTACACTTCCCAGATCCTGGGATATAAGGCCAGGGAGGGGCGGCAGCCCAGGGATCTGGGCGGGAGAAGAGGGTCCTGGGAGGGAGGGCCCCAGTCAGCTCCCGAGAAGAGCCGCAGCCCCGGGCACACCCGGGCACACCCGGGCACACCCGGGCCATCTGCCCACCCCACGAAACCCAGCTCCTTGGAAACCGAAAGCCGGAGACGGAAAGGGTCACTTAATCTGCTGCAGCCCAAACACCAACTGGAACGAAGCCGCTGGGAAGCTCGGTCCGGCCAAGCTTTGGAAAGGACAGCGCTGTCCCCTGGGCTCCGCCAGGGCCCTTGATGAGGACCCCCAGGCGGGTGACAGTCCCCTGGCTGGCAAGCACCGGCTCCCACAGGCACAGGCCGCCTGGGCACAGGGCCTCCGTTCCCCACGACGCCCGATCTAGAGAGACCAGGAGGAGCTGGACACACCCTCCCGTCCCCTGCAAGGTCCCTGTGCCGCGTGGCCAGGCTGTCCCAGGAGGGGGGAAGGTCGGGGAGGCTCCAGCCTGCGAGGCGCGGAGTGGGCGCGGTGGCCCGGGAGGGGGCACCCCGGTCAGCAGCCGGTGACAGCAGAGCGTGTGCGGAGGGACGTGCAGCAGAGGCTGGTGTCCCTGCAGGGCCCGCTGCCAGCTCCAACTGTCACCTGCTACCAGGGGAAGGCCACCCACTAGACGGCACACAGAGTTGGGCTGTGCCACGTCACACCGATCCCATCGGGATCCCACGTGGAAGATGGGGACCGATGGGGAAAGAGGCTCCAGCCAACTGTCCTGGGCAGGCGGGGGACACCAGCGCTGGAGGGCGGAGCCTTGTGTTGCTCAGAGTAGCCAGCCTCAGGCACACTCAGCCAATAAGAAGCGGGAATGCGGGAAATAGCAAGTACACAACCAATGAGAACCTGGGTTGCTGCGATGATTCAGCCAATGAGATGCAGGAATGCGGCACTGGGGAGCCCTCAGCCAATGAGAGGCAGGAATGTGGGCACCAGCCAGCGCTCAACCAATAAGAGGCTGGACTCCAGCGAGTTCTCAACCAATGAGAGCCAGGACTGCAGCGAGTACTCAGCCAATAAGAGGCAGGAACGTGGGCACCAGTGAGCACTCAACCAATAAGAGGCTGGAGTCCAGCAAGTACTCAGCCAATTAGAGATGAGAATGCGGGCACCAGCAAGTACTCAACCAATGAGGGCCTGGAATGCAGTGAGTGCTCAGCCAATGAGAGGCAGGAACATGGGCACCCGTGAGTGCTCAACCAATGAGAGACAGGAATGTGAGCATGCGCAAGCGCTCAAC